CTCGAAATATGAAGATGATGCTGAAGAAGCCTTGCTATCACCTTCTGCTCCAGGTTTCCGACAGTTCGATATGCGACCCCATAGCGTGGGCATGCTTCCGTCTCACACTAATGCGTATCAGAAAATGGGAGAGGACGAACCGTTCATTCCTCCTGGGAAGCTGGATTATGTACCCGAATCTCCTCCTTCGCCTTCACCGTCTGCTAAATTCAACACGGGAGTACCTCGGTCTCCCTCCACCACTTCCTTCCACCAATCTCCCAGTGACGAAACAATGTCTCCACCCTCACCAACACCGTCCTCTCGTCACCAGCAGCAACAGCTCCTGGAAGCATTAACCTCGCCTCCCCCTTCCCATGCTACATATGGGAATGAGGAAACTATTCCGCTTCCCCCCTCTCCCTCCATTCGCTCATTCCGTGATTCCTCGAGACCGCCTTCCCACTATGTCGATGCTAATCCGAGGCCATCTTCTCGTTATGTCGATAATCCTGCGAGACCCACTTCTCGTTACGTCGATCATAGTCAGCAACAGCGCCCTACTGGGCCCGTTATTCACTTATCGCAGCCACTAGCTGCTGCGGGGCGTCCAAGTCCTCTCACCAATGTTTTCGACCCACATGGAGAAGATCAGGATCTAGCACCTCCTAGCCCAGCCTTTCAATCGCGGGTTGATCGCCCGAGGAGTGTGGGCGTGCTGCCATCGCAGTCGAACCATCCTTATGCAGAATCACGTTCTCCTTCTCAACCACTTCCGAGTACATTAAGACCTCCCGGGACTATTAGTTCGAATGATAGGCCGACGAGTATGATTTAGCTGCTCTCTTTCTCCGTGCTGTTCTTGTTGTAGTCCACGTATTTCCATTGGGTATATTACACAAACCAATTGTGTGAGGGACACTATCTACGATTGCCCAATTAACCTAATCGTGTTAGCGTATCATGGGAGCTTGTTGAATTCCATCAATGCTGAGGGTAGAGAGGGAGAGAGGACTTACCTGAGCGTGAGCCCAATCTCGCCATTACATCTTCCGAGCTTTCCTGCTCTTCAACGGTGTCCGACTGTGTTACCTATGTATATCGTATCAGCGAATGATGCTGGTAGAAAGAAAAAAGAGCATATTACCACACGAAGGACCGACTTTTTGGAGGATTCCTGCAGCTCGCCGGCGATGATCAGTTCATCCAGGATCTGAACTTTTATTATGAACCATAGAGCGTGCGGGCAACAAGATAGCGTACCGCATAAGCCTTCTGAAAGTTGAAAATCCTATTGATCTGTGATCGACGCTGAATCATAACCATGAACCAACAGCACGCACAAGTCCAACTCGCAGACCTGCACTCGTGTTAAAGCATGCTGAACAGTCAAGGGGAATGCTCACATTTCCAAAATATCTATCCAAGACCTCGACGTATCGATGTATGATTTCGAGCGTCACCAATTCGTTGTCGTTTAACCCTATCCCACAGACGAAGAATAGTGACGCGTATCTGCGGTAGACCACTTTCGTATCTAGGTGAATATTCGCTCTAGTCGAATCAATGAAGGTTGTATGATCTATTCTCGACCTTTATATTCCAGAAAATTGCACATTTTCGTTCGTCGCGCCAGCACGAGTTGTGTTACATCCTTGACAGTTTTGGCTTTCGTTTTGGGGGGAAGTGTAGTGAACCATTTCGATAATCGGACCTTTCCTATCTCAAAAAGGTCAGACTATAGCGTGTTGACGCAAAGGAGCGTGTACCCTGTCGGGAAACGAGCAGAATGTAGGTGATCATGGTGGTCAAAGACACGATGTCGGACTCTGTCCGGGCCGAGGTCACTTGCTCCTGGCCATCATCGTCCCGCGAATACAACGCACTGGCGCCTCCAATTCAGCCTTTTCCGAGGACCCATAACTCTGTTTCTGACTGGATATATGCTCTTGTGGACCCGAATTACCGTGACGTATCAGTGTTGAAAGAGGCTGAAACAGCCTTTACGCTCAACCACCGATGTCTACTGGACAATTGAACAGCTATTTTCCGACGACCGGCTTTCTGTCGCTCACCCGGTTCAAGGACTTTCAGTCTAATGAGGATTGCGCCACATTACCGCGCCGGTCTTTGCGGTTTTTGGAGGGAAAAGGCTGTCCGTGTTAAACGACGTTTCGGCTATTCTTCGTACGGTACGATAAATGATTGTTTTCCCTTTTTTGGCCTTGGAAGCCAACGAAAACGAGGATTCGCATCAATTAAGGAAGACTGGACATGAATACATTCAGGACCATTCGTGAAGGTGCCTTGGGATCACCTATCGTTGAATCCGCCAAATCCGTTTACGTTACTCGCTCCATCCGTCCTTGGTTACATTTATCTGCGTGACGTGCGCCACAAATCAAATGCAGGAATGCCCTTGCCGTATTCCGATGGGATTGGATAGTGCGGTGTTTCAATTGCTCACGTTCACCTTTTAAAAGGAGCACAGGTTGTTTCGCGGTGTGTTACCCTCACTTGACTAGATGAGCACCCTCGACATAGCCAGAACCTACGGAGCATTGCTCATCGGCGGGGGTATCGCCATCATGTACGCTCTTGCCCGGTCTTTGGTGTGTTGCTGCTGACATGATTCTACAGGCTGAGCGGGGTGCTGTTTATCCAGATTATCGTTTACTTCCGACTGTACATGGAAGATTCTTGTCTGAAAAAGACGACAGTACGCGGTTCGCTTCTCGTGTAGGCTCTCTGTCGTCTAACACATCTTCAACATATAGGTCCTATCTGTTTGGTATGCCTTCCGTGCAAAGGCCGGTCGCGTACAAGTGCTCATCCTTGACACTCTCAAGGTTTCTTGATATTGCACATTCAACATTCATTTTATACTCGCTCTTCGACTATCTCATTATTCACTTTGGCGACATTGCGAGAGAGGATCATATACCATGGTACGATTCCTACACTGCTCCAAGATTCTCGGTGTTTATTACACTTACTTAGGCCCATCGCGGTATGTGTTTTGCACAATCAGTGTCGGCGATGTCTCAATCCTGCCACAGATGTCGATACTTGTCACTGTACGCTTGATTCGCATTCCTTCCTACCCTTCTCAGCGCACAAAACAGGCAGCCCAGACGTTTCTCGCGCAATGGTGAGTTTTGCAAGGTCTCCCAATGTAGCCTTCTCCTCAACTTCTTGTAGTTTCTTCGTGCAAAGGATACACAACTGTGGGTTCTCAATGATCGTGTGTCACTGTTCTGATATGAAATCTTTCTAGTCAGTGCTAAGAATTGGCTTTTAACCATACCGGTTGTGGGTCATTTTTCTGCTCTTTTAGGCGGGAACTGTTGACTAAGACGCGGATAGCTTGTCCTTGTCTTTCTCCGCCTCCGTAAGGACCCGTTATGGTATCCTTCCAATTCTATACTGATGACGGTTGCTACAGTGGCGGCATCAGGTACATACTCTCTTTCAAGTGTCAAGATGCTGGCAGTGCTGACATATGTGCAAAAATAATAGTTTCCACTGTAGAAATGTGCGCGCTCTTTTTCGTCAAGCATAGCAATCACTAACGTACGCGTAGGATCCGATTACATCGTTTCTCCGCGTTTGTACGGCACTATCCCGGAGTACGTGCGACCTTATTCATCGAGACGTTTATTGAAATATCTCCTGTAGTGGGTCTTCACGACTGGCTTGTCGCTTTCTTCCGCAAGCGATATCATTATCACTACCTTGTTGTGCTATTTCATGAGGCAGCTGAGACGGCAAATAGAGGTCCCTTCGAGGTAATGCAAAGCGATTGCATTGTCATCTGAGCTATGTATCAACACCACTTCCAGGATGGTCCACGTCATCGATTCATTGACAATTTGGACTCTTGAAAACGGCTTGCTTACCTGGTTCGTTTGTGATTCTTATCAAACATAAAGCTCACTATCTAGTTCTAACAGCCTCACAACTGCTGCCTCTTTGATATGCGTGCGCTGCCAGCCCTTCGTTGCCTTCTCATTGTGCTTATTCGCTCCAGTGGTTGACGATGCGTACCAACCTTGTCTTCCTTGGGCTCCACTTTGTCATCGGGAAGCTTTATGCGAATTCTCTTGTCGCATCTCTTAATACGCGCAAGGAGCTTCGTCAGCTCCGTGCAAAGATAAGAGCATGGGGAGATCTTCCTGTGTTTTCCGATGAGGACTTTTACACGCCGCGTCCCGTTCGTCGGTATCATCCCGCACGTAACGTGAGTCTTCTTGTCCTGATGATTCTATTCAGATTAAACAACTTCTTGTCTAGCTCGAAGTTACCGTTGAGAGGACGGTTGAACATACTCTTGAGGAGCCTCGTCTCTCACTTCCCCAATCTGTGCAATCGCACTATTCTCCTTACTCAAAGGTTCACTTGAAGCGTACACCAACTGTGCTCGAATGGCAACGGGCAAGTGTTTACGACGTTTAAGTGTATTCGTCTCAGATTTTTTTCTTTGCTTCGTCCTGAACGTACCTTACGATTCTACTAATCTCAAGTCACTTGTACTACTAGTCTGACACAGTCGTTCCTTCATCCTTAGCTGTATTATGTAGTGTCCTTATCCTCTTGGAATATTACAAAACTGTTTAATGCTGTGAAGTGCCCCCTTTGACGCACCGAGTTTTAATGCTAGGGCCTCCTAAAGTTGTTATCAATGCAGTTAGTATTGATGAAGGTTTACTGCGCCACCTTGGGAGAGTCGCGGAAGAAACCTCAGGCGGTGGTGAATAACCGTTTCTATAACCTCCCAGTTAAAAACGGTTATTTACTAGCACATGACATTCTTGCGATCGGTGGTCGATAAACCATATATATATGGCCTGCTGAATTTATCGAGTGAAACAAATGCCAACAGTGGATAAGTCTGGCAGTGTCTGCGAATTTCGGCTAGGGCAGCCTAGGGCTACCACCGTATTCAAACCTCAAGAATCAAGATTCAAAATCATTCAAAGTTAGCAACTTGCAACAAAAAAAGTTTCAAAATGCTATCCAACTACCGACGGTGGGGATCGAACCCACAACCTTCGCCTTTTAAATTGCGTAATCGTAGGAAAGCGACGCGCTACCATTACGCCACGACGGCTTGAAGCTAGGGATTTATTAGTCAATATAAGCTCTGGCGATCGGCCAACCCTCAAGTGTCTCGATAATGCCCCACTAGAAAATCAGTCTTTCTGCTGGCGGCCATATAGTGCCCCACATAGAAAATCAGTCTTTCCGCCGGCGGTCTGCAATTTACTACTGATATGAAGAGTCGAGCCCAGTAAGAAGCCTCAAATTAGGTATCAAAGCCGTTCGATCACTCACTTCTACCGTTCTTCTTCCAGTAATATTTCCTGAGCGATAATAAGTCGAATATTATAGCCTCCTCTGATTGAAATGATACTACGATTCTACTGTGCGTTCTTGATGGGTATAAATCGACTATTATTCGAGTCATGGAGCAGTCCCGTCGCAGCCGCCTTCAACGCCTTCCACCGAACAAGATCCTGGCCCCGTGGAGGATCACGCTCAGTACTATTCCGATAAATATGATCCAGCGTGTCCAGCACTGCCGAAGCCAGCTTCTCCGCATGGAACTGCTGGTGCTTCATCGCCTTCTTCGACGTTGGCGCATCGTATCCTACCGTGCGCCGCGCGTTTGACGCCAACAGCCCCAAGTCGAGGAAATGCACGAGTCGCAGCGCCAGGCGCATAAACGCGCGATTCTCCGATGCTAGAGCAGTGCGGACTAGGAGTGACGCGTTCTCGGACGTGACGGGAAGAAGCATGTGCGAGTACCGGTCAAACTTGGGCGTTTTCTCGACGCCGTCGCTAAAGTCGTGCGCCTGGTACCCGGTCATCATTTGGAACGCTTTGATGGCGCTCGGCCAATCCTTCGTGCGCCAGCAGGCACTGAGCGCAAGAAGAAAAGTGGTCATTTGTGGACGCAGCGTTTCTTTCCGGTCCTTGTTGCTCGCTTTCACCGCCTCATTGACCAACATCCAATCCAGGATTCCAACCTCGAATTCCGCATTTTGAGGCGCCGGCTCAATGGCCTGTCGGGCTTTAAACACCTCTTCGATGTGACCGCGATCGATGATTTCAGATGCATCGCGTCGCTTCTTGACCTGCTTGAAAAGGTCAAAAGCAAGCGCCTGCTTGCCACTGCTCTGGCAAAGCAAGAGCACTGCACCAAAGGCGGGAGGTGAGAGTTCAATAGGTGCGGGCTGCTTCTTGTCGGGGGTCTCCACAGCTAACCCCAAGTAATCGCGAACGATGCGAACGCGAATTCCTGGTCGCTGCTACGTCCTTTGGAAAGTGCGATGATAGCGGATGCAACCAAATGGGAATCAATAGTGAATTCCGTCTTTTTGGCAGCTTTTATCATCTGCGTCCACAGTAGCTTCGCACTCGACGCGTTCTGTACAGCCGTCGATTCTGAATCCATGCCATACGGAATCTTCAAGGGAGAGAGCGCTTGGAACATGGCGGTGAAGACCAAGTGGTCAGGCGTTATGGGTCCTTTGGGATCCAAATTATAGTAAACGTCGAATATCTCCTGGTACCGCCCAGCATCTCCTAAAAGTTTGAGATACAAGGAAAGCGGACTGCTGGAGAGTTCGGGGCTCGTGGGATTGTGCGCGTGAACGGATTCTATGTGTCTCATGTAGGATTGGAAAAGAGACTCTGCGTTCTTCATCTGCTTTGGGTACGCCGCCCAGTCCTCAATGCGCGTCAGACCGTTGAACATGGTCTGATATGTCCGCGTTGTGGGGCTAAACCCTCGACGCTTCATCTATGTAATGTCAGAAAAGAATGAAATCAAGAGACTTGGACACGTACATCGGTGAACAACTGGTAGGACTGCTGAAACTGCTTTGCTTTCATGCACTCCCATATGACCGTGTTCCAGACAATCGCATTTTGTGCATCCCGAGGGGAGTTCTTGAGCATTGATATAGCTGCCAACAATTTGCCCTCGTCACACAACTTCTTGAGACGGTCGGAGAGGACATGGGGTTCTAATTTCGGCAGACCTTCTGGCTTGGCGACGGAGGGATCAAAGTGTTTGGACCTGTACTTGTTCGTCTCTCTAGGGGGATTATCTTGCTGAACTCTGGGGGCCTCTGAACGCGAAAATGGTGCATTCTGTTGTCGTCCCAGGTGTGCTGCTCGAGATTTTGATAATGGTCGTGCCGGCCTGTAGGAAGACTCGGAAGAGTAAGAGGATGGTGGTCTAGACGATGAGGGTCTTGAGGAGGAGGTAGACGGTGGTCGGGAAGAACGGTTAGTCGATGGCCGGGAGGAACGAGGCAGCGCTCTTTGGGCAGCAGGAGCAACGGCGGAGGTTGAGAATGAGACGAGCGCGGGCTCTAGGGAATGTCGCGTCTGTTTGAGGGAACGACTGAAAAGCATGTCGGCGACCAAGACAAGGCGCGTCGATCGCGAAAATAATTCGTGATCACCGGCATGTCCGGGCCGCCCTCACTCACCGCTTCGCCTCATGACGAGGAACTAAATAGGCTCGGATCTGGCTGCTTCTCGGTATCTTATGCTCCTCTGTCCTGCGATTACCGCGTCAAGCTCGGATGTACTCGTACACGTCACTTGAAGTAGCCTATATTATCCCGATGCCTGAGGTTACCCTTCGCAATGTTCATCTTCGTCTCCATCTTGCTGATCATCGTGTGTATGTATCTCCCCGTACACGGGATGCCCGCCTGGGGAGGCGCCCCCGGTCGCACCTCAATCGGGAGCCTAGTCCCCGGCGCTACCCACATTGAAGCAATAATACCCTCCCGCACGTCCGGAAAGGGAACCACAACACATCTCACCATACCAAGCATCGGTCTGTATCAGCCTATGCACTCAAACTTGGGCTTACACTCGACCTAGACCACCTAGGAAACCTTACCCTAATCCCCACCGCGAAAACCAACTATAGTCCACCGCTCTTTTTCATTAATCAAGACCACCTATGGCTCTTCAGAAATGAGTCGGCGATATTTCCCGTCAGCGTCGTTAATGCAACGACACAGTTCGAGGATAGCCAACAGAACCAAGCTCCGATGCAGCTCATCATAGACCGGAAACACGTCGGAGTCTCTGGTGGTTCGTGGAAATGGCGGGGGACACGACTGCATTACCATCATGGCAACCACAACAATGCAGGAGTCTTCTACAGTTGTCCAACGGAAAACGGCGGCACTGGCGTCTACTTGGTCCTCAAAGTGTACGCGAACCACTTGCACACTTGGGCAAAGTCCACTCACCATTTCTACAGTGCAGGGCGCATGCAAGGATGCAACGTCGTTAGTCTGCATAGCTTTAGTCGCGTCAACGAAGATAGTACATGAAATTGAATTGCCGATTAGTAGCATGGTCAATACAAACTACCATCATGTTTTCTTGACTTTCTGCTCTATCGTTAGATCGATCCGCCGTGCTACAAGAGCAAATGCAAATAGACTTAGGAAAGCCGCTGCCACGACACAGGGCTTCCTGAGATGTGCAGTCAAAGGCACTTTGTAAGAAACCTGCGGAGGTGGTCAGTACCAGTATCTAAGAGAGAGATTGCAACTTGCAAAGATGGACTGCGCATGTCTATCCGTGAGATCCCGATAGTTCAATGTCAAGGCAGGTCGTCCGACGGTGTCAAGATACGTGGTATGCGTCGACAATGTATTCGATATGGCGGGGAACGGAACGAAGAATTCAATGTCACTAGTAGTGTCTTAGTCTCCAGTCCACAATCTCAAGCAACACACTCACGTAGCGCCTTCAGGAAGAATAACCTGCAATTCGGCTTCGTCTACTACGGCGTCAGGAATCAGCGTCATGATCGGCACCTCAAGCAGGTACTTGTTGGTCGCCTTGTCAAAGCTGACGCTATCTGCCAATGGAGCATCCCAACCAAGAGTGAAGCTGTAATTCCATCCACCCAACAACGGATAGCGCGGACGCATCTCTAGAACGCTGAAAAGGTTCCGCTGGGACTTTTGGGTGGACGGCGCGACTCGTAGACGGGAGGTCGAAACGTTGCCAATGAGATCATAAAAGTACGTGTTGCTGATGCCCGCAGGCAGGTGGAGAGTGAGGCCAGGGATGACATGCGGGGCCGCGCGCTTGTAGAACGTCTGAGATTGGTGCTCAAGACGCGAGAAATGACCTTTCAAACTAGAGACGTGGATGTTGAGAGATGGGCTATATTTAGGCAAAGGAAACATACGCTGGGCCTGCGTTGTGAAGGACCATTTCATCCTGGATGTTGAGGTTCGCGCCCCAATGGCTAACCTCAGCAGACCTTTTCAGTTTAGAGATCTCGAGGAGCGGGTAGTCATGGTTGTAATGGATGAGAAGGCTCTTTTGGGTCTTTGCGAAGAAGACTTCATTAGCAGAGGGAGGAACGTTGTTGTAATGACCGTATGTGAGAGTCGCGCCAGATTTAGTGACAGTCTCTGCGTCAGTGAATGCAGACAAGTCCTCGGGTGTGGTATACGAAAGTATACGGGGTGACTGCGCTCTACATCGAGGATAAACATTCCCTACAAAGATGACAGAACAAGCGAAACATACTTGATTTTAGTCCTTTGAACATGAGTAGCATATGGGCTGATGACGAAAAGGTCTGTCCTGTATTTGAGCGCCTGTTCATCTTTCTGAGCAGCTGTTTCTGGCCACGGCCATGTTGCGTGAGTTTGCACGGTCTCCAAGACTAAGTTTACGGTCGAGTTGACCGCCAGTGGCTTTGGCAGTGCGACGTCCAAGAGGTGGATATCACTAGGCAATGCATGAGCGAACTATTTATCAATTGAACGTCGACAAACCTTCCGACCGCGATGGAATGGCTTATTTCCAGGGCCTGTTGCTGGCCTTTGATCTTGACATCGAGCCAGCTCGTCTTTTCAATCTCTGCGTCTCCGAGGGCGATGGTGTAGACGGACGTGTCAGGCTCGAGTGCTTTCGCTGCATAGGTGGTGGTAACATGGACAAGGGAGCCGCCGAGTTCTACGGTGCGGACAATGGCGGTGTTTTCAAAGGACTGACAGGCGGCGGAGAGTGCGGAGAGCAAAACGGCCAGGACGATGCTGGGACGCGCCA